CAGCAGGAAGTTGGGTTACTGCAAAGAACTAAAAAACATGTGAATGTAACTTCTCACACAAAGGTTACCAGACACCTTTGATAAGTGGTAAGGAAGTAAGGAACATAAGTTGCTTATTAAAGGAGATTTAACTTCTTTGATTATTTTAGGCTTCTAGCAAGCATCTGGAATCATTTAACTGTAATATATGCACTTCCAGTTACACAAAGTAGTATATTGGGATTGTAGTTATCCTCAGAAGTGCAGCCTAAGAAAATTATCTCACATTCCAGATACCTATTGGTACTATACCAGTTAACATGAGGTTCTGTACTTTCTTAAAGTCTTCCTAGTTAGGTGTATTTTATTGGCTGGGGGGGGGTCATAGGTTGACTCAGCTAGTTACCTTTTTAAGGACAAAGCACATCTTAACATTGCTTTTAAGTGCATCCACAGATCATGGACACCTAAAAAAATCCTCGTTAATAAGCTAAAACATACATCTTCATGAAGGCTCTTCTGGAATGTCATTTGTTCCTCCAAAGTTTTCATATGATTTTGCAGGTCCACCCTCCTCAATACTTCACTGTGGAGATGCGTTTTGGTATCTTCCAGCAACAGCTGCAGCTAGAAAAGACAGACATCAGGGTAATCAAAACTAAGAGGTCATTTTTCCCAACTAAGACAGTCATCTTATTACAGGTCATTCAACTTCAGTCCCACAGCAGTCAAAACACACTGCTTAAGTGAAGTTGGTTACTCTAAGTTCTTATTTCAGTGGGATCCAGCACATTAGCAACAGAAAGAACCCTATTTAATTGTTATGTAGACCAAATTTACCACAAGGGAAATACAGAACAGCCCTTAATCCCACCAATCTTGACTTCTCAAAGATGACTTCCAGTGAATCAGTTGTACCATCCATACACATTCCTCCCCTTCACAACACTAACTCTCCCTAACTTCCAATATAATTTGTTTGATGCTTAACAAGCAAAATCCTCCAAATACAGCTTAACTATGTTAACAAACTATTATACACTTCCAGTGTTGGAGTGTGCTGCTTTAATGATACACATTTGGGTTTTTTGAGTTTTCATCCTAAAGATTTGAAATTAATTTATTCAATGATCACATTAAAGCATGATGATAGAAAAGCTGTGCTCTTAGAAATGCCTTGATAGAGTAGCCACTCAAGCAGAGTTCATTTTAGTAGCACAAAAGCCTACAAAAAGAAAGTAGTCAGAACCTAGTTATTCTAGGTAGAGTTAAGCAGCATTCATCAAATGCTCCCTTTGCTGACATGTTAAGGGAATGCTACAGGGGCTATAGCAGTACAACACATTTCAGCTCACTTTTTCCTCAGAACAAGAAACAGTACATACTGTGATCAGACTAAAATTAAATGTACCTACAACAGGTGGAGGTTTTAACAGACCTACCATCAGTAGCATTTACTTTCAGCAAGATTACAGAAATCTTTTTGTCGACCTGTCATTGCCATAGATAACAGTCTTTCCCTGCTTTTAAATCTCAATAACTAGCTGGAAAAACAAGCAAAACCTTCAGGAACAAAAGCAGAGTTGAAATTCCAGGAACAGGTCTTACAGTGACTACTTGATCCTTTAATTCACGCAGGTCATTCTCCAGACTTCGGTTCTGATTCAACGCTGTTGCTAAGTCAGCTTCTTTCACATTCAGCTGAGCATCAAGGTCTCTTATGCGAGCCTGTGCCAGGTTTAAATCAGCTTCTTTTTTTGAATTCCTACAAGTGTAAGTTTTACACTGGTAAGTTGCAGCTGGTGAGGGAGAAAGTTTGTTTTTAATGTGTTTACCTTCACAGGGGTCTGTGGCAGACCTGAAACAGAAGAGAGGTTAGTTAACGCTGGTGAGAGCACAGGGCAGGCTCTGGGAGACAAACCAGACAGCCCCCTCAGACAAGTATGATTTGTTTAACCAGAAAGATTTCTGACCCAGTTTCCAGCTTGTTTTGTGCAAATCCTGCGCAGAAGCCAGCTATTTTCCATGGCATTACCAACCGGAGAGGGGAGGGACAGCACAGGCCGCTGTCTCCACAGGGAAGGGACTAGCCACACTCAGAGCCGAAGTTCACCAGAGCATAGCGACCTGCCACCACTGAACACCCTGCTCACACAGACCCCTCCTGTCGCTGGTCACGCATGGGGACAGGGGAGATGTGTCCCAGAAGGCCACCGGCCAGGCCTCGTTAGCGCCACATCCCCAGCTGGGGCTCTGCCACCCACAGCCCCTCAGCTTCTGCCACAGGGCCAGGAGCCACCGCAGCAGCCACCCTTCCCTCACAGCGCCCTTGCAAGGGACTCTTCTCCCTCAGGAAGGCTCACGCAGTGTTCCCTCCTTCACACCATGGCAGAGTTACAGGGCAAGAAAAGCTCTGCCTTCAGAAGAGGGCCATTTCCTTGTGCCCTCGGGTACCACCTGAAGGGCCAGCACAGTTGTTCAAGTCGCAGTTTCACTTGGCACCGCAGCAGAGAATCGTGGGGCCCACAAGTTCCCATCAGAGAAAGGGGTGATAATTTCCCAGACTGCCCCAGCTTCTAAAGCCCTTGCAGTTGCCTGACCACAACCCAGAGTCCAACTTTGTACTCAAAACCCTGATTTGAGATTGCAGAGAGTAAAGCATTCCATATATTTTAGCAAAAACTGTTCTGCCAAGTGGCTAAGTTGTGATAATTCATACAATGAGTTTTCCAGTTGATAACCGAGCAGACCAGTTGGAGAGAGCCCAAAGTCATTCTGCAGGAGCTATCAGCTCTAGAAAGCTGGGACTGCAAGGAAAGTTTGGAAAAAAGTAAGGGTTGTTTAGTCTAGAGAAGAGAAAAGTGACAGGAGACATAACGGTCTTTACATACATGAAAGACTGCTGCACAGAGGAAGAGAATCTGTTCTCCGTGTCAGTTGTGGAAAAGACGGGAAGTTGCAGGGAGGAATATTTGGGTTAGATGTAAGAGAGAGGAAGCTAACAGTAGTTCAGCACTGAAGCACATTGCCTGGGGGGGATATTCTGGAATCTCCATCATCTGGAATTTAAAAAAAGGGTTACACAAATATCTGCTGGAAGGGATGCAGGTATGGTCGGTCCCAACCCAGGCCTGGGGCATGTGGCTACATCATGGTCTTGCTCAAGGCCTTTTCTAGCCCTGTTATTCAGAGACATTTGTTGACTGTGTCTCACACTGACATGACCATGGTGCAAACCCAGATGTTTTGCTAGCAGAGGATATTTATTCTTTACTCAAGACTCTAGGAAAAAAGTAACTACTGTGGTAACAATGAAAAACAAGATAATGTGTTGTAGTTTTACTGTTTACTGGTTTCTTTCTTTTCTAGTATTAGCCACCTTCTTTTTGGGATCTCTGCTACCACTACCACTTATTGTGAGTGTTACTTATGATATTAACAAGCACACCACTAGCACTACTTAATGATAATATTGAGTGTTCCATCCTACAATAATATAAATCTAATTCTGCAACCAAAGCGTGCAAGACAAATTCCATTAGTAGCTGTGTTTTAATGGTCCACTTTTCCGATGCCTCTGACAGACATGTTCAGGTTTCCTATATTCTTTCCTGACAAGTATTATTTTCAGAGAACCCTGAAGTGAGTCGTTTCATCTTTAAGAACAGTATTTTAACAAGTCTGGCTTTCACAAGAAAACTTTCTACCCTTTTAAACCAAGTTTGGGGTTCAGAACACCACTTACATTACTTACATTATTAAGCAGCAAGCCATGACAGTTACAGCACTCTGCAACATTCCATATACCAACCATTCCAGAACCAAGCCTGGTTTATTGACTATAAATTGTAAGCAATAACTTTGAGGCAGTGCTAATCACATTCCTTGTAAATCAAGGTGCTGCATATGCTTCACCTGGAAAATTTAATAATTTTACCAAAAGAGTTCAGACATTTTTGAAAAATGCTCCAGTGTCAAGAGTAGAGAACATTAAGAGCACTTGCAGAATTCCTTCTTGCAGCTTCAGCTTACTACACTGCATATTTCAGGTTCAGTAGCAAAATGCACATCTATACTCACTGACGCAGAAACAAACTGGTCTTGTCTTTCTCTGCTGTGCTGCTGGAGTTGCTTTGACCTTCCTCAGGGTCCAAAATCAACCAATTGATATGCTTATCCACAACAACTCCTCCCCAAATGTCTTTGGCCTACTTCCACTTACTGCTGTTTTAGCAGTAAAAAAAAGCTGAAATGCAAGCGCACTTCATTGTTGCCACAGCTTTAAGTCTCTTTACCAGTGATTAGTAAGAGCCAATGGTTAATGCTGTTGGGAAATTATCTGGTGACATACCATACTATAAGAGTTCCAGGTTATTTAAAGGTTGCATATATAAAGGGCCCGATACCCTCAAGGTAGTTTGTTCCAAGTCATCCGAGACATTCACAGTTAGGCAGCCCAGATACAAACCCCTCAATATTAGGACTTCAATCTAGTCCTTTCAGAAAGCAGCATGTACTATGTATTATTTCCAGTGGGCTGTAAAGTTAACCATTTTAAGACCTAGTTAAAGAAAAAAAAAAAAGTCAGTCCAGAGGATTGCATACCCCTGCCAAGCCTAAAGCTTTATAAACAAAGCCACAGACCTATACAAACTCAAAGACCAGCAGCAAAGTTTTAGAACTGGCATTACCCCTCTCCTCACTGTCCGTTCAAGCGACTGGTTAGATTTATGACAGCAATCTATGAGCCAAAACCCAGCATGAACGGGACAAGCCCAAGAACTTCTAAGCAACTAGAAACAGAAGCTTAGAGTAAAAACATTTTTTATTCCCAAGTAGAACAGCTACTTAAGTCCTAATGAGGGGGCAGGATTTGCTCCATACAAGTGTTAAAAGAAAAAACTGGTGCCTAAGGTTGCTATGATACAAGTTTATAACAAGACGTAGGGGACCTGTGGACATCCGAATTATTGCAAGTTTGTAATTGATTTGGTGGTACAATGGGGCATTAAAGTAACTAGCAAAACTAGCATTCTGCATATATTCATAGAGGAAGCTTGTTTGGATTTGACACTTGTTCCCTCCCCTTCACTACCTACCTTCTTCCCTCCTTCAGGGGGGATTTAATTGCACTTACACTGGGCCACCCCTCTGTTCCAGGCTTGGTGAGACTAGACAGCAAGATGATTCCATGCTCGGGATACAGAGCTTGCAAGAAAGTCAGGCCTGAAACAGCAGGCAGTTCATCCCACTGTCACGTGAATCAAGATCTGAAAGCCCCTAGGACCATTTCTGTGCAGCACCAGCCTGGACCAGGTAAGCCACGCTGCTTACGGGACCACCTTCTCTCCCCATTCCCCTCTAGGCAATGGCTGAGCTAAAGAGCCCAAAAAAAGACGTGAGCTGACTCCTCACAGAGACTCCTTCCCGTATCCCCATAACTTCCCAGGCGCTCTCCAGCACAGCGGCTCTTCAGAGTTCATAGCCACCGGTGCGGTGCCAAGCCCAGTCGGCTGTACGCTCACACAACGCTACCCCATCAGGCCACCCAGCACCTCAGATTGCGGGGGACCCACCGCAGGGAGGGGCTTTCTCCCGACCCAAACCACTCCAACCGCGCCGGGCCACACGTCCGAGGTGTCACCGCCTCCA